AGCCTATATTAATCATATAGCCCTTGTGTAAATTTTCTATTATATGTTGTGAAATCTGTCTATAACATAATTATTTTAATGTTATTACTTCTTTTCAAAACCAGGGCCTCCACAAATTGATTTTACATTAAAAAGCTAAAGGTTCTGCTTAAAATATACTTTTAACATGCAGTTTATTTACAACAGAATAGAATTGCTTGGGGTCAACAAAAAAAACTAAATCTGCCCCTGACAGCAATGAGCCAATAAACAAAAAACAAAGACTAGTATTCACATAAAATAATGTGGATTATTAAAGGCAGATTTGTTTATTTTTTATATATCTAATACCCATATGATTCACAATTTATTTTTAATTAAAGTCTGCATAATTTAAATTAATATGTTTTTTTAAATACATATTTAAAATATATTTCTTTCACAAATATTGAATCACAACCTTTGAGAGCATTATAACTTGTATCATTTTTGGAGGTCCTGGTTTTGTAAAGAAGTAATAATGTTAAAATCTTTATGGTTATAGATAGATTTTATAACATATAATAGAAAACGTATAAAAAAAGAGCTATATGATTAATATAGGCTTCTTGGCATTGGTCGGGGCCCCTCAATTCCCTAAGAGGGGTCTTGAGCGGCTGCTTACTTCGGTTATGGGTTAAGTCCGCCCCTGGTTACTGTGATATAAAACTTGAAAGGTCATAATTAAATATTTGTAAAATAAATATATTTAAATAAAGAAATGTGAATTTTAAATATATTAATTTATATTTTAATCAAATATAAATTGTGAAACATATGGGTATTATATATATATATATATATATATATATATATATATATATATATATATATATATATATATATATATATATATTTATTTATTTATAGACTGCTCAGCAACATAATATTATTATGTCAATTAAGCCCACTTTGGTGAAAAAATCTTGTTGTTTTTTATAATGCTCTGTATATCTATCTATCTATCTATCTATCTATCTATCTATCTATCTATCTATCTATCTATCTATCTATCTATCTATCTATCTATCTATCTATATATCTATATATATATATATATATATATATATATATACTGAGCATTACAAAAAACAACAACAAAATTTATTCACCAAAGTGGGCTTAATTGACATAATAATATTATTATGTTGCTGAGCAGTCTATACTGTATATACCTTAACTTAAACATCATTTCTCATCGCTGACTTTTGATTTTGGAGTGAAATTGTTGCCAGCTTTTGTGAGATTCCCCCTATGGAGTCTGTCAAACTTTCTCCGTCATGTCTCTGAACTAAAGAGTGTGAGTTTTTGGAGTCCGACACCTGAAACCTGCAGCAGGACGCTTTAATATTTGATGGTGCTCAGTTGAACAGGGCATACGCTCCATCTGTCCCGAGCACAAACACTTCAGCAGAAGGCCAGCGCCGCGTCTACCAAACCCTGCTTTTGTTTTGATTGATTCTGCTGTCATTTCGCTAAAATGTCTTCAGCGTCTCTCCTCTGTTTGGCGGATCGGCATTTAAAGGGACGGTACACTCAAAACATGAAACAGTTTACTCACTATTTACTCTCCCTCAAGTTGTTTAAAAACCTTAATGCATTTTTTTCTTCTGTTGAGCACAAAATAATATATATATATATATATATATATATATATATATATATATATATATATATATATATATATATATATATATATACTTTTTCTTTTTTTTTTTAAGTTGAAAACTGGTAACCATTGACTTCCATAGTAAGAAAAGCAAATACTATGGAAATCAATGGTTACCGATTCCTAACATTTTTCAAAATATCTTCTTTTTTTTTCCAACAGAAGAAATTAATTCATAAAGGTTTGGAAAAAGAAAAGGGTGAGTAGATTTCATTTTTGGTTGAACTATCCCTTTAAAACGTGTTGCTAAGTAACGGAAAGCAGGGCTGCGGACCGGTTTATCATGACATAAATCAGGCTTTTACATATAGCCACTGAGGCAAAAGTGAAAAAGATTCGGCTCAGATTAATCTGCTGATTAAAATATTTTAGTTGAAGCATTTTAGCTGTATTTAAACGTACAATATTACATAAAAATATATAAAATATGTATGGGAAAAATGGTTCTACTGGGATTATTTTAACAAATATTTATTAAAGTACTTCTTTAAAAGAACTTTATGCTTCAGAAATAAGGTACTCATATTAATTATGAAAAAGTAACAGTATATGCTCATAAGCAGAAGCATAATATAAAAACAAAATATGAATATAATAAATGTATCGTTGACTTGTGTGTGTATTTGTAATTATTCTTTAATTTACTTTGTAAACTTCAAAAATAAATTTATAGGTCCATAGTGTTTGGATATCGACACAATTCTAATATTTTTGGCTCTATACCAACACAATGGATTTGAAATGAAACAAACAAGATGTGCTTTAACTGCAGAAATGTTTTAATTTGAAGGCATTTACATCCAAATCAGGTGAACACTGTAGGTATTACAACAGTTTGCATATGTGCCTCCCACTTGTTAAGGGTCCAAAAGTAATTAGACAGTTGGCTTCTATGCTGTTCCATGGCCAGGTGTGTGTTAATCCCTCATCATTCCAATTATAGCAGATAAAAGGTCAGGGGTTCATTTCAAGTGTGCTATTTGCATTTGGAATCTGTTACTGTAAACTCTCAAGATGAGATCCAAAGAGCTGTTACTAGAAGTCAAGCATCCTTAGGCTGAAAAAGTGAAACAAACCCATCAGAGAGATAGCAAAAACATCAGGCATGGCTAAAACAACTGTATGGAACATTCTCTAAAAGAAAGAACGCACCAGTGAGCTCAGCAATACCAAAAGACCCGGAAGACCACGGACACAACTGTGGTGGTTGACTGAAGAATTCTTTCCCTGGTGAAGAAAACACCCTTTACAACAGCTGGCCAGATCAAGAACACTCTCTAGGAGGTAGGTGTATGTGTGTCAAAGTCAACAATCAAGGGAAGACTACCCCAGGGTGAATACAGAGGATTCACCACAAGATGTAAACCATTGGTGAGCCTCAAAAGCAGGAAGGCCAGATTAGAGTTCTAAAAAAGCCTTCACAGTGCTGGAACTACATCCTAAGAACAGATGAGCTCAAGATCAACTTGTACTAGAGTACATGCTGACAAAAGCTGCAGGATGAAGTGTGAAGTGTTTGAGGCAATATTTTCTGCTCATATTCAGCCAAATGATTCACAATGCTTTAAAGTGCAGATGGATGATGACTCAAAGCATACTGCAAAAGCAACCAAAGAGTTTCTGAAGGGAAAGAAGTGGAATGTTATGCAATGGCCAGTTCAATTAACTGATCTGAATCTGATTGAGCATGCATTTCACTTGATGAAGACAAAACTGAAGGGAAAATGCCCCAAGAACAAGGCAGAGCATCAATGAAACCCAGTGTCTGGTAATGTCTATGTGTTCCAGACTTCAGGATGTACTTGACTGCAAAGGATTTGCAACCATGTATTAAAAATTGGAAGTTTGATTTATGATTATTATTATGACTGATTAATTTTGGGTCCCTTAACAAGTGGGAGGCACAAATGCAAACTGTTGTAATTCCTAAAGCGTTCACCTGATTTGGATGTAAATACTCTCAAATTAAAGCTGACAGTCTGTAATTAAAGTTCATTTCACTTTAAATCAATTGTGTTGGTGTATAGTGCCAATAATGTCAGAATTGTGACGATGTCCAAATAATTATGGACTTGACTGTATATGCATTTTTGTATTAATTTTCTTAAATATTTCTTAAACATTTTCTTTTCGGCTTAGTCCCTTATTTACTAGGGGTTGCCACAGCGGAATGGACCACCAACTTATCCAGCATATGCTTAACGCAGCGGATGAGAATGCAGGTTTTTAATATAAAAGAAAAAAAACAACAACAAATGTATGATGCAAAAAAGTTTATTAAAAAGTTAAGATTGTGGCTGGAGGTGTGGTGTGGTGAATTATTGACTATTTTTCTGATTTATAACTGATTGGTTTCATTCAATCTATACACTTTTCAAATGCATTTCAATCTAAATAAAATCATTTTAAAAAGATATAAAACCAATAATATGTAAGTCATTAGAAAAACTAATATATAAAATAAAAAAACAAAGAATATATAAATATATTAAATCCAACATACAACTCAATTTACCATGGTAACACTTTTTTGGAGACTACCATCAAGTTAATATCTTGGTCTAGAATATGATTACAGTAAATAGCAAAGTCAATATAAGGTAAATTTGTTGTTTTTGTGGCTGTCCTGCAAGATTTTAAACTGTTTAAAGCAGGGGTGTCCAAACTTGGTCCTTGAGGGCCGGTGTCCTGGAGAGTTTAGCTCCAACTCTAATTAAACACACCTGAACCAGCTAATCAAGCTCATACTACAGTAGATATACTAGAAACTTCCTGACAGGTGTGTTGAAGCCAGTTGAAGCTAAACTCAGCAGGACACCGGCCCTCCAGGACTGAGTTTGGACACCCCTGGTTCAAAGTTATGTCCTTATCCTCTATACACCGCAAGGTTTCCAACTTATTCAAATTCCAGAAAAACACTTCAACGCTTTCTTTTTTTCTTCTTAGTGTTAGTGTAGGGCCACATTCATGAGTACTGACCATAAAGAAAAGAAACTGTTGAATAAAATCAGTATTTTTGTTTTATGTGTGCAAAAAAATCAAGTATTCCTGTAGCTTGATAATATTTTGATTGAACAACAGAAGCCACATAGTCTGTTTTGAGGAGGTTTTTCAGTATTTTTCTGGACTTTGAGTGTCAGATCATTGTTGACTATGGAGGACGAGAGAGCTCCAGGATTGCATCTAAAACATCTTAATTTGTGTTCAAAAGATGAGTGAAGGTCTCAGGGGGTTTGAAATGACATGAGTGTGAGTAATTAAAAACAGAACTTACATTTTTGAGTGAACTAACCCTTTAAAATGCTGTCTGCAGGTGAATGGAGTGAACATTGAAAGCATGAGGCACGCTGAGGTTGTGGCCTTCATCAAGAACGGCGGGAAAGAAACCCGTTTGCTGGTGGTAGATCCAGATACAGACGAGCATTTCAAGAAGATGAACATCACTCCTACCAGCATCCACGTCAAAGGTAAAGCATGAAACTTGAATTAAAATCAAGTACAGCGCCTTTTACAATATACAATAAAAAAATTTAAATTCGTGAAATTCAATGGCTTTAGGATTCCAGCATTCTTCATAAAATCTTCCGGAAAGGAAATTCAGACAGGTTTGGAACGGTTGAAATAAGTGATGAAAGTATTTACATTTTTGGGTGAAGTAGATTTTTTATATATTGGTTTATATTTAATATATATATATAAGTTTGCAATGTTGTGATTCTGGCAACGCTGGTTTGAGCCTCGGCAGGGTCAGTTCTGTGTGGAGTTTGCATGTTTTCCCTGCGTTCCAAGGGAGCTACGGTTTCCCCCACAGTCCAAAGACGTGGTACAGGTGAATTGGGTAGGGTAAATTGTTTGTAGTGTAAGAGTGTGAATGAGTGTGTGTGTATGTTTGCCAGAGATAGGTTGAGGCTGGAAGGGCATCAGCTATGTAAAAAATGTGGTGGATAAGTTGGCGGTTCATTCCCCTGTGGTGACCTCAGATTAATAAAGGGACTAAGCCGAAAAGAAAATGAATGAATGTTGTGGTTCTCTCATAACTTTTTGATTTGGTTCATAGTTTGCAAAAAAAATAAAGAGACACATGAACCTGGCACTAATTCATGCTGTGTCCATATAGAGTGGTCACATTGGAGAGGATCAAACTTGTCATAAAACTTTTCCAATATTCCAACTATAACCACCAACCTTGTCTTGGGAAGCTTTTATGACCCACATTATGTTGACTACTGTGTGTACTGTATTTATGGTTTTGCTCATCCCCCATTGACAGTTAGATTTAGCGTGAGTTTTGTGCCACGCTTCCCCCCCTAAAGCACCAATAGCTCCGCCCTTAAGAACTGATAGCATAAACCCCCCACCCCCCTCACCCCCCACCCACTCCTCTGGCCTAAGGGACCAATAGCTCCAACCTAAATTACAGATAGCTCTGCCGTAAATGACTGATGACTTTGGCCTAAAGGACCGATAGCTCCACCCTAAAGAACTGATGGCTCTGCCCTAAACGACCGATAGTGTCACCCTAAAGGACTGTTAACTCTGCCCTAAAGGACTGATAGCTCCGCCCTGAAGCACTGATAGCCCTGCCCTAAAGGAATAGGAGCTCCGCCCTAAAGAACTGATGGCTCTGTCCTAAATGACCGATACTGTCACCCTAAAGCCTGGTTTATACTTCTGCGTCAAGTGAAAGTCGTACCAATGGCGCATGCAACGCGCGTAGCTGTGCATTTATACTTCTGCGCGCTGTCTCTGTTGGTCTGCATTAACACTTCCAAAACGCTAGTTGGCAGTGAGGTGTTAATGTGTCTCTGTGTCGAGTTTCTTCGCCTGTGTTTTGTTCTTTCTGAACACTTCCGGGATGTACAAGAGGCTCAAACTCGAACCGGCGGACATGCAACAACTTTAACTATGAGGTAAACACAAAACAAAACTTTCCATCCGGAGCTCCTTCGCGGACTCCACACTTGTAAACAATGGCTCCATTGGGCTCGCGCGGCTCTCTGTCTCGCCCAGACTCATCAGCGCTACCAAGCCAACCAATCACAGAACTTGCGCTACGCGTCGTTGCGACGAGAGGTGCACGTCAGCGACGCCAACGGCCACGGCATAGGGCTATGCGTCAGCACCGTAGCATACGCGTGCGTTTGACGCAGAAGTATAAATCAGCCTTAAAGGACTGTTAACCCTGCCCTAAAGGATTGAGAGCTCCGCCCTGAAGCACTGACAGCTCTGCCCCAAAGGACCAATAGCTCCGCCCTGAAGCATTGAAAGTTCTGCCCTAAAGGACTGATAGCTCCACCCTAAATGTCCAATAGCTTCATCCTACTTAACCGTCAGATCCGCTCTAAACTGCTAATGGCTCTGCCCTAAATGACTGATGGCTTTGGCCTAAAGGACCAATAGCTCCACCCTAAAAGACTGATAGCTCCACCCTGAAGAACTGATAACTCCGCCCTAAAGGACTGATGGCTCTGCCCTAAATGACCATTAGCTCCACCCTAAAGGATCGAAACCTCTGCCCTAAAAGACTGATAGCTCCACTCTGAAGCACTAGTTAGCTCCACCCAAAATGACTGATGGCTTTGCCCTAAAGGGCCGATAGCTCCACCCTAAAGGACTGATAACTTTGCCCTAAATGACCAATAGCTCCACACTAAAGGACTGATAGCCCTGCCTCATATATTCATTCATTTTCTTGTCAGCTTAGTCCTTTTATTAATCCAGGGTCGCCACAGATGCCCTTCCAGCCGCTACCCATCTCTGGGAAACATTTACACACACATTCACACACACACACTCATACACTATGGACAATTTAGCCTACCCAATTCACCTGTACCGCATGTCTTTGGACTGTGAGGGAAACCGGAGCACTCGGAGGAAACCCACGCGAAGGCAGGGAGAACATGCAAACTTCACACAGAAATGCCAACTGAGCCGATGTTCGAACCAGCGACCTTCTTGCTGTGAGGCGACAGCACTACCTACTGCGCCACTGCCTCGCCCTTGCCTCATTTATAACAAACACTAATATAGACATATACAAATAACGCACAATGAACTGATCTGCTCTCCAGCCTAAGATCTTCAGTATTTCACTTGTATTCTTCAGAGTGTTTTCATCTTGCTGGGAGTTGAGTGGGTGTTCGCTGTGTATGTGAGGTTTTACTCTCAGACAGATGTTGGGTTTTGTCTCTACAGAGGTGTCTATCTTTGAACTCTCTCCCCCAAACCCCAGTCCGTTTCCTCTAGAGTCCAGTGCATGTGTTGCACTCTGCAGTCCAGCTCCTGACATGTGGCTCACATTAAGCCTAAATTGAGTCAAACACTTTAAACGGGCTATTGACATCTTAAGGATAATTGTGATTTGGCAGGATCATGATTTGGCTCAGTGGAAGGTCATTCCAGCACAATCCACTTGCCTTTCCAGCCACTGTTTTCTTTGTATCATGTTCATTTATTTCATTGTGGATCAGTAGATCTACAGCAGCGGATTCAAGAGTCAGCATATCCGTCTTACATGAATGATAAATATAAAGAAGCTTTATCGTGGGCATGTGATATAGGTGAACTGGGTTATCTAAATTGGCCATAGTGTGTATGTGTGAATGTGAGAGTGTGCAGGTATTTCCCAATACTGGGTTGCGGCTGGAAGGGCATCCGCTGCGTAAAACATATGCTGGAATAGTTGGTGGTTCATTCTGCAGTGGTAACTGTTGGTAAATAAGGGACTGTTTGGTTGTAAAAATCTACAGCTACTTGTATAAACAGTAACAGCAGGTCAGATATTCCATCACATAATGAGCGCTTATTAATTATGAAAATTGTTATATATTTTTGTTAGCTATTAATATTTTCTAGTGACTATTTGTTCCGTTTAGTTTTAGTTTTTCTATTTATAAGGAATTATTCGGGACCGTGCACCGGAACGGAAATTGGCAAACACATCAAACATGCCAATACCTACAAAAAAAGTCTCTTGGAGTGATACCTCAAACCCAACAGGAAGTCGGATATTTTAAACTTCTTCTGCCTAAAAAGTGCAGTTTTTGCCATTTCCAGGCGTTGTATTTTAACGAACTCCTCCTTGGAATTTTATCAGATCAACACCAAATTCGGTAATGTCATCTAAAGGCCTTTGCGATGTTAAATTACAAAGATTTAGAGTTTTCTTGGAATGGGGCGTGTCCGTGGCGGCCAACTTTGACGATTCGCCACGAAACAGGTAGTTATAACTCAGGCATGCATTGTCCGATTTGCCTCAAAATCCACATGTTTGATAAGAGTCCTGACCTGAACAAGTTTGCAAGCCAATATCCAGTAACAGTTATAGCGCCACCTGCTGGCAACAAGAAATGACATTGTTACTTTGTAACAAACTCCTCCTACAAATTTTATCACATCAAATCCATGTTCCTTTATTTTAGTCCAAAGGTCTTTGCGATGCTAAATTGTGAAGATTTAGAGTTTTTGCTGAAGGGTGTGTCCGTGGCAGACTGACAAAGTTCAGTGCTTCGCCATGGAGGAGGAAGTACTTAAACCTTATAAGGCAAACAGTGGCTGTTTCTCAATTCCAAGAACGCTAAATATGGACTTGCCTTCTTGTGGAGAACCTATGTCTTGCCAGGTTACCTCAGAAGAACGAACTCAGGAGACTGCGAGGACAGAGAACGCGTCCTGTGAGAAATGAGATGCTGCGTTCTTCCTGATGGTCACATGACATTCATGTGTTTTTAATGGAATATTATTTAAACATTACAGCATTCATACAATGATTTATTGTTTTTCCCCTTTTCAAAATATATACTCTGCATAAAAACATTATAAATATATGCTGCACAATATAAATAAAATAGATTTTTATACGAATTTCAGCAAACAAACACTGTTAATGTGTTTATTCCTTTATTAAGATGTCCATGGTGATGTTTATATTCACCGTTTCATTTAGGGCAGCTCCTGAGGTAAATAAGTTAAATCTCTGACCTTCAATAATAAATCTAAATCAAACGCAATTCTTTTTTAAATATTTCCCTAAAGATGTTTAACAGAGCAAGGAAATTTTCAAAGTATGTCTAATAATGTTTTTCCTTCTTGAGAAAGTCTTATTTGCTTTATTTTGGTTAGATTGAGAGCAGTTTTTAATTTTTTAAACACCATTTTAAGGACAAAATGATTAGCTCCTTTAAGCAATTTTTTTCTGAACAAACCATTGTTATACAATAACTTGCCTAATTACCCTAACCTGCCTAGTTCCCCTTCGGTTGGGGAACTTCAGTGCCATGAATGGGAGGATTCGGATCAGAAGCCGCTTATCTGGAGAGTATTGAACGGGCCAATGAATGAAATTAATTGGCAGCGTAAGCTTGCGCAGGTGTGCGACATCTGCAATTATCTCAGCATATAAGCACACCTGAAGCCAGCAGACGCCATCCTTTTCGCTTCAGATCCTTTCTGAGTGAGTCGATGA